TCGTTACATGCGCGCGAACTTGATGTATAATTTGCAAAATTTTGTGTTACTCACTCATTTATTGGAGGGCACTGTATATCCGTATAGTGAAAAGTCGATCTTCTGTCTATCGACACATGGATTTGCAATTGACTGATAGATGAAAAACAAAGTCTTTCTGTTACGGGCCTAAAGATGGCTGATAGCGTAAGTTTCAATGCAAAGCGAGTTTTTGTCCACACTTACATGTTCTTTTTGGCCCGACTATTTGATATTTGGAATAAATTCCTTTGTCACTAAAAGTCAACACATTAGGGTACATGACTGATTGAGAAATTTCTATATAAAATCTCATTGATGGTTTAATTCGTCGTGCAAACAATCGAAAATATGAATAAACGTGCGCGTTACGATGCAGTAATAATGGTCTGATAACGATGTGCGGAAATCACGCCATTTATGTAGAAAATGTCGTAGTAGAAATGATACGCCAAAATAATTTCCATTTATGGGGCACGTCTAAAGCGGAGCAGATCCCTCGCAATTCCATTGGTCAAATTTGTATGACAGCCAATAAAATACAGGATCATGTTCTGCTCCGTTTTGGCCTTTCCCCATTTATGGACAGGAGAAGAAGGGAATAATATTTAAGTCTGTACGATGTGTCGGGTAATTTCCGATCTACAATGTAACAAATTTAACGCCTGATTGGACAACCATCTTAAACGAATTGCAAATATAGCAAAATGTCTTCCTTTTTTATTGATAACGCTAACCGAATCAACAGCAACCCTTAAAGACTTTGATCATCAATCAATGCACGATTGCAGATAGGAACATCGTGTACATCAGAAACTTCCAAAGCAAGGCTGCTTGTAGAACTAGTTCTGCTTGTAGCAACATGCTGATCACATCCTTTCTGAACAATTTTGCCGTCAAACAAATATAAGTGAGGCCTATGCCTATCTTTCTCGATCAGGCTTCGCTTCAAGCATCATGGACAATACCATTCCATCCCCAGTCCAACCTGATCAACCGACGTCCGAGAAAGAAGACGTAAAAATAACGACTAATGAAGCGCCTGAGGCCATCGACGCACTGCAACTAGATGAATTCGAAGATAATTCCAAAATACCCAAACTTTCATACCTTCACATATACCTTACATTCGTCAATCATGGGGCTCGCGCGTGGGGAGGACCAGTTGCTCAAATAGCAAATATTCAAGAAGCATTTGTAACCCAACAAAAGTGGATTACCCCCGCCAGGTTCAATAGAGTTTTTGGAGTATACCAAATACTTCCTGGTCCAGAAGCGACTGAATTGGCCATGTATTTCGGGTGTTTGTCTCGAGGGAGAATAGGAGGAGTTCTTGGGGGGCTGGGTTTTTGCACACCAGGGTTTTTGTTGATACTTTTATTTTCTTACATTTATTATTTAGTTGGTATAAGCAATACTTATTTTAATGCTTCGTTTAGAGCTTTGCAGCCTATAGTAGCAGCAATGGTCTTGAGAGCTGTCCATAAGATAGGCATGCATGCATTTATATCTCATAAAACGAAAAAATTTAATTGGTTCCTCGTCGGTCTTGCTGTTATGTCTGCCTTCTCGTCGGCATTACGCATAAACTTTTTCATTTCATTAGGCTTGGGTGGAATAATATTTGTGTTGATAGACAGGAGATTGTATTGGGCGGCAGCACTTTTATTTGCGTTGCAGTATGCAGTGTTTGGTATAATCGTCAAATTCAAAGGATGGCCTGAACCAACTTCATTGGGTGTTGGAGTCGCGAAAGTGACCGATCCTGGTCATATTTTTGGGCTTGGGCTTTTGGCTGGCAGTCTTTCATTTGGTGGCGCATACGTAAGTATGAAATGGTTCGGAAGATACAGACACAGGGTGACTGATCCCACGCGACCGAGTATGGTTCACCTCGATAGTATTATTTTACGTAGAGCGTTTGACAAACGATTTACTCGAGTAATTTGATGTCAAACTAATAATATCTTTTTTTTCCCGCAGACGACCATACCTTTTCTCAAAACTGAAGCGGTAGAAATCGGCAAATGGTTAAGTAATCGGGCATTCCTCGACGCCATTGCGATAGGGAATATACTTCCGTCGCCACTCGTAATGTTTTCCACGTTTCTCGGGTTCCAGTCGGGAATCAACTTTGGTGGAGTGGGCTGGGCATTTATCAACGCTGTCTTGATCACTTTGGGCATCTTTCTCCCGTGTTTCCTATTTACTATACTTGGTCATCACCAACTGGAACGGTTGGTCCGAAATAAAGCAATGGCAGCGTTCTTTGATGGCATTACAGGGACTGTGGTTGGTATCATTGCGATAACTGCATTAGATTTGTTAAAAGGATCGCTGACTTTTGTGGGTCCAGATGAAGCTATTAATAGTGAAACGGGTTTGAGCGTACAAGATAGATTGAGTAGATTGGAATCAATAGAATCGCAGAGTGCCATTGCTGCTGTGTTGTATGTATTATCGCTTGCTGCCCTATATTCTTTCCGCCACAAGTATACGGCATTGTTATTGGTTATATTCGGGGCCATTGGTGGGCAATTTCTCTTTGTTTAATTAAATGGAAAAAATAAAATTCTCGATCGAATTGCCTGCACGTGAGTGGCTTATAACGATTTTCGAAACTTTTACGCTGTAAACTAACTCGATATAGCCAATCCTGTAATACAAATATTTGAGAATGGGCCAGAATATTGGTAACCTTCAAAAGCGTCTTTTTTTAAACAGTCGAGCAATTAATCCTGCATAGTTTCTTGAAGATGTCGCACCATTTGAGTACAACAGCCGCAGAATTCTTTGTGTCCCTATAAAGTTGGGTTTCGTGACCCCGACTCTTTGTCATTAAAATCACCTTAGCTGACTATCTGTAACATAGTTGCAATTCTTTAGTCACCCAAACCACCTAATCAACAAATGTAAAGCTGGTGAGCTATATATTATAATATCAACGAGCTTATAAAATATAGTTGTAATTCCTGTATATTCAAATAATACCATATACACAACACCTACGACGTTTGTTGGTTTCATGAGGTCTGGAATTCCATTTAACGACAACGAGATCCCATACCGTGAGGGTTCACCGATCCAGTTACTTAGATACGTGAGAGACCGGGGAGACAACTCGCGGTCAGGAGGCATTCAAGTAATTGAAGATGCATTGACTATTATTAAAGAAATCGAGGAACCGGTTGCAGTCATTTCTGTCGGTAAATATAAATCGGAAATTTTTATACTTTAGTAGTATGTGCAAAAATCGTATCGAGATTAGTATATATTTATATATTGAAAATCCCAAAACCACATATTCTATATCCTCCACCCCCCCTTTTCTTATTCCCCCCAGTCGGTTCATTTCGTCGAGGTAAATCATTTCTAGCAAATTTGCTTCTCGGCAGAGTCGACGGCTTTGAACTTGGTTCAACAGTTCACGGGTGTACACGTGGGATCTACATGTGGGATATGCCGTTTCGTCTCAACGGTCAGAGGGTTATCATACTCGACTGTGAAGGTATAAACGATCCCGAACAGGACCAAACATGGGCTACAATGCTATTTGTACTTTGCCTTGCCATTTCATCTGTGCTTGTCTACAACATTAATGGAGTAGTCGAGAAAAAGGATGTGGAAAAGTTGTTTTTAATGACCGATCTGACACGGCGTATACACCCGCCGGATGATTGCGACTTTTATCCGCATTTGACCGTCTTGCTGAGAGATTTTCATTTTAACCAGCCAGATAGTTTCAAGCAGTATTTCTTAAGGCAATTGAATAAGGTCAATCGACAAGGTCAGTTTTGAGTCGATTTTTCAGAAAAAATTGCAAGGTTCAGAGTTTGTATTAAAATTGTATTAATATTGTGTCGAATCAGCATCAAACTCGGTTCAGGAATTCTTCAGCGACTTTGATGTGTACCCTATAGCAGTAAGTCTTCTTTTTTTTTTGTCGACAATGGGTATTAATATATAACAGGAGAAGAGAAAGTCTTACAATTTGTACATTATGTCATTCATTAACACTATGACTAGCATCCCGGCGTTTTATCAGACGATCTCAGATCACTTGACACTCTCGATCCATCTCGCTTCTCTCAAGAATTCAAAAGGACATCAACCGAAGCTGTAAAGTCTATATTGTCCAAGCTTGCACCGAGATATATGGGGCCGGCTTACATGAACGGCATTATGTTTTCTGAATTTCTCGAACGCTCTGTCAGACAACTGAACGATCCTGCGAACGATGGCATGCTCGCGGTCCCTTCTGAATACGAAGCTGTAATTCGCTTCATAGCAGACAAATCTATCCAACGTGCTAGAAAGCTGTACCAAGTTATAATGAAACGGAAACTACCTCCGTTGCCTATACCCTGGGAAAAGTTTGCCGATGTACATGCCGAAGCTTTTTCAGAAGCTTTGGGATCGCTAATGGCAATGTTGGCTGGGTCTGCGCGAAAGGTAAACGAGTTTGAGAACGAATTCTGCGAAAAAGTTGAGAAAATCAAGAGTGAGCATCGAAGGAAAAATGAGACAGCTTTATGCGAGTTTCATGAGAATTTGGCAAGGAGGTTTTGGAACTCGTTTGTGAATGTCGGACTACAAGATGGTAACTTGTTTGTAAGTATCTCTGGCAAACGACTTGTGGAAAACGTTTGATTATATTTTGATTATGTAACAATCTTGTCCTATTGCTTTCCCCCTTCTTTTCCAGCGGACCGAAACAGACTTTAACCAAGCAATTGATATCTTCGAATACGAATATGTCATGGCAATGATCAAATCACCCGAGGCCACTCTTGTTATAAAACGTTATCGTGAAGTTCACTACCCTTCGGCCATCAATCTCCTCTCCCGCAACTGGTCGTCGAACACGAGATTTGCCAATAGGTCCTCTGAGCCGGACGCCGAACTTAAAATTCTGGATCAAATTGTTGAAGAACGACGTCTTTATGATGAATTAAAATCAACCGAGCGCGAAGTTGAGATAAAAAACCAAAAATTTGAAGAAAAAGTTCAAAAGTTGGGAGAGATTTTGAGAGAACAGAAATTGAGTGAACAAGAATTGAAACGCATTATAGCAGAATACGAGCAAGTGCTGGCAAGCGTAAAGGCACAAAATGCGACAAGAGTAAGTAAGCTGAAGGACCTTTGGAATTCGAAAAAGAAGTATGTTAAATACGCAATGATGGGATTAAGGGTTGCCGGCGCTATTGCGGCTTTTGTAGCATTCGTAATATGACATTACAAGGTTCGCATGTCCAAATGGGAAACTTTTATACCAGAAAGTCTATCCCTGAAAAACAATGAGGACAAAGCTGACAGCCCAATGCAAGAAAAAAGATTGGTGTTCATATTTATGTAAAATAACAGCTTAATAATTCCCGCGTATACTTTTTCCCCCTAATGTTTAATGTAAGTTGTTTGTTGATTCCTTCCTTCATGGAATCGCGACAACTTTTTTAGCTATAATGTAAATGGACTTGATGATTGTTTCATGTTACTTATAATAATTGATTATTAGAAGCCGTTAGTTATTATTAATACTAAGCAAGATAAAGCTAAATTACCAAGATAATTAATTCTTTCTATCTTTTGCCGCGAAAGCAAGAAAGTAGGCGGGATAGCCATCAATTGGATTGTCTGTTCAAATGATTGGCGTTTATTAGATAGTTGCTGTTATGATAATTAATATATAAATAATACTTTAATATTTATTCTAATGAGCGAGGATGTTGGCAGCAAGTGACATGTCAAAATACCAAACGAAAATTGGCCTTCTGAATTTTTGAACCACCCGAGATTTTTTTTTAAATTTCCGTCGCATGAATTCACTGACCGAGAATGATCGTAATTAAAGAACGTTTCCGTCATGAAGCACATCATGAATAACATGCATAATATCCCACACACAGTATACTTTTTTTCCATTTGCTAATATTCCGATCCAAACAAGACAAAAGACTACCCCTGTTAGCATATTTACATAAAAATCAAGTATTCTTTTGTTCTGGTTTTTGTGTATATCCATAAACTTTAAGGAATGAATCATCATAATTAATGATTAAATAAAAATAAATACCGCGACATTATTAGCACAATAATATAATTACGTTGCGAAATAATTTTGCAGACTAGCTTGTCTTAGAGAATTGTCCTGATTTCTTCTTACCTGACGTTCATTCCTGACAACACGAATTGCTTATACCCACACGTTATTCGATTGCTGCAATAAAATTTTGGATGCTTTTTAGAGTCTATATTTATCGCTTGCCACTTACCGTATATTACCGTGAATACCCCTTAACGCTGTTGTGGATTATACTTTACGTAATTATTTGCCGATCATTTTAATAATGCCGATAAGAGTTGCCGATCCTACGGTAGTATACGGTATGAGAGTATTTGTGTAAAGTAATCATCGTACGGGCCAATTAAATTGAATCGAGGCACATCCAACTAAGACAGTTGGCCTATCGACTGTAGTGGCTGACCGTGTGTCTCCAACTATCACCTTACCCTTAAAATCCCGGAGTAACATTCATCTCAGGAGGAAGATTTTACTGACTTGCTTATCGATGAAGCATCAAGCCCATAAAAAGGACTACTATTCCATGCCCCGTTGTTATGCTTTTCCCGTCTGTTTTCCCATAGCAAGTAACAAACTCTACGCCATAGCAACGACTTCTTTTATCACTTCTATCTGTTCCTTCTTCCAACAGTTAACAATCTTAGTAACTTGCGAAATTCGATTATACTACAAAAACTAACAACATGTCTCACAACTACTTCGTCAACAACGCCGGTGCAAACGAGAATATCCGTGGCTTCGCAGCATGGATAGTGTGGCAGAAGCTGAACAATGCCATCGAATTGATAGAAACAACAACGGCCGCAAAAAAAGGATATTCGGAAGAAATCCCGAAGGCCATTGATTGGGCGAAAGAAAACGGACGATAACCACACTTGAGGAAGAAAAGAAGAAAGTTAACAAAATGAACGCTGTAAGTTTTGTTTTATTTTATCAAACATTGTATTAAAGGTGAACCGGGAATGGTGGAGAAACTTGGCCTGGATCCAAACCATGCTCGGTTATTATTCGTAATGGTACCTGCGGATTAAGTTACGGTTTTAGGCGAGAAAAGAGAGATATTCATCTTTTGAAACATGAAACCATATTATTATATAGCATCTGAGATCGCCAATATATATATATCGGAAGTTCTTTTTTCATAATTTTATGTTTTTTTTATAGGGTGCCGTAGCCGGACGCATCGAAACGGCTAATGGTATTTACAGTGAGGTGAGTATTACTAAATTGATATTGTTTTATCATTTAAGAATTGACATTAACGTTTATTAATTATATGTAGATTCAAACGGATGCCAAGTATGCAAAAAGTGCATCCATTGCAAAGATAACATTACAAGAATACGGAAGAATCTGGTAGGTGATAATAACTATTGATAATCACTCATTATATTAATATATAAAATAAATAACTTTATTTTTATTATTATTTTTATTTTTACTTTTATTATTATTATAGGACGAGATTATTCCATTGGTTGCGAATGAGACACATAATGCACTCATCATCTTTCGCGACATGCTTGATGAGATGCTAAACAGCGGGGAGTAATTAACCCCCTACGACCCCTTGCGACCGGTGTTCTTGATACGAGTGGATCAGACAAAAAATGGTTACTAAAGATGGAGTGGTAGTCTGCGTGTGCGCACAGCACCTACGGGGGAACTATTGGATCAAGTCAGAATAGGACTATGCTCTTAACGCCATTAGAATTGGCCGCAGCAAGTCATGTGACAGGATCCGCAGTCCGCATCGATTTAATTTAGGAGTAGTGAAATGAGCTCAATTTAGTAATAATTCATGACGCCAAATAGGCGTTTGAGTTATATAAGCGACTGTTATCCCATTGTCTAGCTCTCATGTTGAATGTTGAATGTTAAATGTTGTATGTTGCATAATGATGAATATCCAATACTGTTGTTATACTTATATTCCACGGAATTGTTCTTATCCACGGAATAAATAAACAAATTTTTAATTCCCTTTAAATGACTTTCTTTCTATCATTGATCGTCGAATTTATCGTAATTATCATAACAACGGACAACCTACAGTATTTCGAGACTGTTGTGGTGATAACATTGAGTAGCGGGTGAAGAACTAGTGAAAGTTTGTCCGTTCAGTTAGTAAAGCAATCGCTTGAAAGCGTACAGTAATTGGATAATATTTGGCGAACGACATTCATTTCTTTTATTCGTTTAATTGGTTATTGAATTAGAAGTGACGCATATTGACTAGTCAAATACCAAATCGAAGTATTGCCCTGTTTATTAAAGAAAAGTTCCCCTTCGATTTTATAGAATAGTATAATTGTTAATATTATTCGTATAGATTTCCTTACTTGGATACGAACGTTGGATTACGTTACGTATAGGGATTAGGAAGCGCGCATAATTAATTAATAAGAAACGTCACTATAGCTTAGCATTCAGTCTTAATTGATACTGTCGCTGAAGTAAGGGCAGCGGTAGCTGAGCTAATTGAGTCAGATCCCCCTGTCGGCCGAACCGCCTACAGTTCGCTCTCCCACAAATCTCCCTAATTAAATACGCCGACCGTAACAATATTCTACCAAATCTTATTTCTTCTAGAAGTTTGTAAAAGGGAAATTGCATAAAAAATAGTTGCCAAACAGTAGAAGTAAATACAAAGAATCCATTTACTAATGGTAATTGTTACAAAGGGAGATTGGCTTTGGTGAAGTCTGACAAAGATTTCAGAGAGAAAGGTGAATAATGTTGACGGAACCATAATAATAGATATTTCATCAATAATAATAATGATTGTATCTAGTTCACATCAGCTTTCTTGCATATCTTTTCAGAGGTGATGAAATACCCCATTACTTTTTGATAATCTTTTGATTCTAGCCCTTTTATTTGCCAGAGAACTATTAATATATAGCTAGGACATTGTTGAAATATGCTTCACCTGCCAGTGGCGAAGCACATGATATAGACATAGACTCTTCAGCAGTAAAAGTGCTATTCATTTTTTACGTTGATTTTTTTAGGAAAAAAAAAAACAATAGCAGGGCGTAGTCTGAAACGTGGATCGTAACCTAAGATTCTGCTGTTAATACTGTATATCAGGATACAGAAGAGCTTCTAATTCGGGATCATGTAGGGCAATCGGTATCTCTTGTGCATAGAAACCCGACGGCTAAACGATTGTAATGGGAATCTTCATTCTGTATCATCAGGAAAGTCATATGAAGGTACTATAACATCTCCGCGATGAACGGGTGGTATAAGCTGGTCAGTTTCTACACGGGTAGTGGAAGGCCATATCGGGTTCGCGGTGAAGTCATTGTTCTACAATCAATGAGAGTCGAGAGAGTGGTAGGATTTCAAGTATGGATTGTTTTGTTGTAACCATTCGCAAGCTTCTCTTAAGGAAGGATGATACCAGCGGTTTTCTGCAGATGATTGATCTATATTTTCAAGAAATGCGCCTAGCATGCCAGAGTAAAGCGATAGCAATCGCATGTTCTTTGAGTATCCAAACTGTCCTTTGAGTGATCGATATTCTGAATAAGCAGATAGATTCGATGATCTGCCAAAGCTCGAATGTAAGTATACAGGTGATAAGTATTTTCGCTTTCCATATGGCACATTTTCAATGCAGGCAGGAATTCCAGCATGAGGAGGGCTTTAACTTGCACGATGCACACACTGCTACTTTCACGTTATCATGCGGCCTTGACGACTATGGCACGCTATAATAACGTCTTCCCAACAATCACTATGTACTCTATGTTCATATACTATGTCTTGTCTACTCTGCCCTCTTCATCTGACAGAATTTAGACGATCGAGAGACTTTGGTGGGCAATTTCTTTTGCAATGCCCAGGTTTTTGTTTGCCATACTTAATGTTACCTCCACATCTATCTTCTCTTTAACCTTTCTCCTTTTTCGCTCAAAATAAAGTTTCACTCCATCATTCTCGAAGAAATCGTCTCGCTTCAAGCATCTTGCAGGATCACCCAATTGAGAATCGTTACTTAGCGCCTCCAGCGTTTTTTGAGCGTTTTTACGCCTTCTGACAAGGAGTATTTGAATTCACATTGAAGTTCTCTATGTACACATTACTCTATGTCCCCAACGCCCAAATCACAAAGTCGTACCCTTGCGCATGCATAGCAGAGTGATGGCTTCGCAATGTAATTATTATCCCTCCCTGTATCCAATGAAAATCAACGCGCAAAAATTGCACCACACAATAACTTGTATGCAAAAAGTAAAACTTCTTTAAAGATTTGGATATGTATTGCAAAAAGATTAACATAATTAAGATATTTACAATAATTCATATACGTATTTTGTCATATTGACTTTATTATTTCTTCAAAAAAAGTAGATATCATGTGAAGAGGCAATTGCATGGGAGGAAATACTCAGACCCAAAGCCATTAATGAGTACCCTTATACTTTAATCGCGCTAGTGAACCTATGCTACATAGTATTGTTAGTGCTGTCAACGTCTTCTTCTTTTTTTTCCTTTTCTCTATCAATCTATTCCTGTACTGCTTCGACAGTTATTTTCCGCGGATTGGTTTTCGCAGGTAGAAATTTTTGGAATTGAGGCTGCAATGCCTTTTCCTTCACGTAGCGTGTAGCTTTCAGATGTTATTTTCTTAACGAGAAAGTTGAGTCTAGCTCAAGCTTTTTACCAAATAATTTTTTAAAAACAAATTTTCGACGTTCTCTAGGTATTTTCGCTCGCTGAGTAATTTAGTGAATATAAATTTTACTTTAAATTTTCTGACTCGACCACTCGACTTAATTGTTTCAAGCTTTTGGTTTAAGTCCGATTAATGTCTCACAAAGAAATTCAACGGATGTGAACGTTTTGCAGTTTTTTTATGGAATAAAAGCATTTGATAGTGATTATTTATGTTTGAAATGCTCCCGATAATAGTTTTTTAGTAACCCGCGTTATTAGCCATCTGTCTATTCACAATGGATGGAGTAGCGGTTTTAGCTAATAATAATAAGTATGTTTTGATTGATTGGACAAACAATAATTATGGTGCAAAAAATGAATAGCAGACCTGCAAAAAACTCTCTCTGCAAGTCGCGAACAATAGAATCATGTTGTATTAGAACTTTGAAATAATCGCCCACGCTGCAACTTACCGATAAATAAAGCATCTTCACCATTAAACGTGTTGCAGAATCGTTATCCTATGACAAATATCGTAACGGCTATTGAATGTAGTAAAGGTTTTTCGTTTGCAAAGCATATATTGTTGACGTTCGTTACCAGCCATAAACTGTCAGTGAATTTATAGCAAGCATTAACTAGAAAATATGCATTTTACACCATAATGAATTGCGCGTGCAATCATTAAGAATTTTACGATTTATGTTAATATATTAGCTTACCAGCATATTCTCTCTTCGGTTTGATGTGGATCTGCGATATTTATGAAATAAAACAGGTATGACGAATCGATAATTATGCCCCAATTAAACGCGTGGGGAAAGAGGAAAAAAGTGACATGTCAGAAATTGCTAGCGCGGCAGAAGGAAAGCGGAAACCTATTAGGTAAAGTGGACGAGAATGCGTTGCTACTGGGAATGGCGTTTTGGAAGCTTTACAAGATTCCAAAACAGCTACGTGGATAACAATATGCATTGCAAACGACCTATATTAGGGTTTGGGTAGACGGTTGCTTTGATCTAATGCACTATGGCCATGCCAATGCTTTGCGCCAGGTACGCCCTTTACAAGTTATTAATTATATATCGAATACAACATGTTTATGGTTGTCAACACTTAACTTACTATTAACCACCATTAGGCGAAAGCTATGGGTGATTACCTTGTAGTTGGTGTGCATTCGGACGAAGAAATTGAACGTAACAAGGGGCCGGCAGTGATGCGAGAAGATGAGAGGTTTGTCACTTTTTTTTTTAATACATGCAAGGTTTCCCAAAGCGAGAATCAATTAATCTTTCGGATTACAATTATTTCTGCCTAACCCATTGTCCTCATGTCGTTTTCGTATCCGGTCTATCCGCTCATAATCTCCACTTTCCCCCACTCTCATTCCTTTGCTTGCAACTATCATGTTTAGATATGCTGCAGTAGCCGCTTGTAAATGGGTAGATCTTGTAGTTCCGGACGCACCATACATTACCAGCATTGAAGTAATGGACAAATACAAATGTGATTTTTGTGTACACGGCGATGACATAACTACGGCAGCAGACGGTACTGATTGTTACCGAGAAGTAAAGGAAGCCGGTCGCTACCGTGAATGTAAACGCACTCAAGGCGTGTCCACCACTGAGCTTGTTGGCCGTATGTTATTAATGACTCGTGATCATCACAAGCGAAGTGCAGGTGGAAATGCTCTTGCTTCCGTGTCCAATGAAGATTTAACTACATTCAGTGGTGATTCATCAATGCAGACTCCTGTTACAAAGGTGTCGCATTTTCTACCAACTAGTCGGAGAATCGTACAGTTTTCTGAAGGCAGAGAACCAAAGCCAACAGACAAGGTCGTCTATGTTGATGGAACTTTTGATTTGTTTCATCTGGGACATATTGAGTTTTTGAAGAGAGCTAGGGCTTTGGGAGACTATCTTCTCGTCGGAGTGCATGATGATCAGGTGAATGGTTTATAAACAACAATGTTGATAATTGACTGCTTGTGCAATCGTCGTTCGTTGTTGTTATGCAAAACATTGACTAATATTTTTATTTAGGTTGTAAACGCTATTAAGGGAGTCAATTATCCGCTGATGAATCTTCATGAACGTGTTTTGAGCGTTTTGGCTTGTAGAGTAAGTGTCACTGTTCGTTTTCGTGATTCGAATATAACTTTTGTATTGATTCTATTTACTATTGGAAAGTACGTCGATGAAGTCATAATCGGGGCTCCATATAGCGTAACTGAGGATGTACTTTCTAAAGTATATAAAGTCGATATTGTTGCACATGGGAATACTTCAACGTTTCCTGATCTTGACGGTAAAGATCCTTATGAGGTGAGATTCGTTGAACGTGAAATAATGGTCGCATATTGTGAAGAATCTATAAACTCATGTACTCTTGTTACATGTCTGGTCATTGATCTAGCTTCCTAAAAAGAAAGGCCTTTACATTGAATTAGAGAATCCATCAGCAAATATTACAACTGCCGATATTATCCAACGGATTATAGAACATCGGCAAAGGTACGGCTATGATCTGATATGGCAACAAACGATTTGGTGATTTTCGTTTAATAACCTTTTGTTTCTTTGCTAGATTTGAAGAGCGTCAAGCACGTAAGAGAGAAAAAGCAACACTCGAAGCAGAGGCAGAGAGGCTCTTAAGAGGTTCTTAGATCGAATAGAACTACTATTTTTTATAAAATGATGTGCTCGAAGCACTAATAAAGAACACGCTTTATTTAACCTACGAACCTGTTAAGATGAATATGCTAACACTAACTCATGGAAATCGTTCCATTCACCAATGATCACTAATATTATTAATGTCGCGCATTGCTATAAGCACATTCTATTCCCGGAAATGATTTGTCTTTGGAACTGGTTTAGACATATTAATATGTCAATATGCATATGTTTAACCATGGAAGATGGTTCAGAAGCTAACAGCTGATGGTTAAGAGGACAAGCAAAAGAGCAAGGTGAAGTTCATCAAATCCATTGGGTTATGATGTCTATAGGTAGGGTATAATAGTTCTGCATGCTTTCGACAGCAGCAATTAAAAGTAGTTGTGATCTTAATCATCTATCGCAAGTTCCGCAAACGTGGTTGCTCTTGCTCGTGATAGCAATAGAGCGTTTGCTCTGTTCATATCGTGTACTTAATGCTCATGTGGACTAGGTAATGGGATGCGCTTGATAGTGGATCGTTACCATTTGCGTTTACTTTGAGCCTACCCTAACAATTACACGATTACTCGCGTTCTCCAGCTTGGCCTTTTTTTGGATTACTTTCAAAGACTATTTGGTTTTATATTTTAAGTTGTACTGTATGAGGGAAACAAACGTCATTGTAATATTTTTGTTAGTCTCGTTGAAGGTGAGCACATAGCTTAAATAATTCTTGGTTGTAACGTTATAACACAGAATGAGGTACGCTAAACGATAAATTATTTATGATTTAGTAGCATTAATTTGTCACGAAAGCAACCCTATTTTCTTACAGCGGGTAGAAACACAATTCGTTCCCCGATTGAAGTTCCAAGGAACAGTGAGGAAGGAAGGTTACAAGTTAGGACTGTTCTGACTTGAGTGTCAATTGAGATTTCAATGTTACTAAAAAAATTTCTTCATAGCTCAGCTATAGACGATTCTGAAATAGTAAATAGATATTAGACAGAGTATATTTTTCACACAAAGCTTGCATAATATTAGCATGTCTTATCAAGTTGCTTAATTAGTCGTCCAAGTCACTGGTGAAAAATCAGAAGATTCATTTAATCATCCTTGACTTTAAAACAATTAACAATGCGTTTGCTTCATTTTAAATTTGTCATCGTTTAACAGAATCCACTCGAATATACTGTTATCTTAATCAGTCAGTAGAAACCAATGAAGAATTCTGTAGGCTTAATTCTGCCATCATATATTAATATTATGCTTGAATTCTGATAACAGTCAGATTTAGTAAATGTAAATTGAACATAACAATATAATTGTTGTTGTAGCTTGCATAAAATATCACACCAAACTATACACTGTATTCACTTTTAGAATGAATAAACACAGTTTGAGTTATGGCAATATTTAATATTTTCTAATAATATAATGTTATAAAATCAAATAGTAATAATAAATTTGAATCTATTGAAACTACTAATATAAATACAGACCTTGGAACAATAACTATAGCAATTGGCAATATTAATATGGCTACTATCATAATATTCATATAGAGGTTTTGATTCATTATAAATTAACAATGTTGACAGTTTAACTTACTATTACTATTCGTTATTGTCTTGATCATCTCGTTTATGGTGGCATAGTTAAGTTCGTAAGACCTTTGCTTTGACAAGTAGTATTCGTTTTGACTTTATTTGTAGCAAAAGTAAGTGACAACTTGAATCATAAACAGTTAGACTTATTGTCAGTATTGGTTTTAGTTAACTATAATTTCTCTGCAAACAGCTATTTTGCTTGCTAAAGGTGTTTTTCATGTGTTTTATTTTCATGCAAGATATATTCAAACAATATGCATTCATCCTGGATACGTAGCAAAGAGAAATTATGTTCGATTTCTTACCCAACTCGCGTTCGACTGATCGCCGAGATCTCAATACGTACGTGTAGTGTATACACTCATCACGTGGAGGATGTTTGATAATATGCCAACGCGGACCATTTGAGTGCAGGAAACGTGTTTACAAAGAGACGTTGGAGTAACAGTCTGCTTACTAATGTTGACCGACTATATAAACTTTCACTCTAACTTTTTTCCTAAACACAGCTTCTCATTAGCATTGACAGACTTTTATTCGTTCAATTATTCGTGTGGTTGTATCGAAAATCGGCAATAGTAACGGAATTTCTGTATGGCTTCTATAGAATAATATTCTTTTTCATCATTTAGATGAAGTGATCGATTTGTTTGTAGTTTTCGGCTGAGTCAAAGTTATCTAATGGACCTTTATTTAGTAAACATGAATATTAATCAAATAACTTGATTTGTCAAATAGTGACTCCTTATCGTTTAACCTACTTGCGATTCTTCCCCAAAATTTGTGGATGTTTTTAGTCACTTGATAAAGGAAACGTTCTGAGAAAATATTAATTGGTGGTTAGTTTGTGTGATGGGTATAACGGCAGAACAAAGCAACGCAACACACAGAGACAGTAATGAGATACTAAATTAGTTCATGCCACAAGTAGATTAGATGAAAATTTATATGCTCAAGACGGGCGTTGTGTGAATCACGACTATATGATATAATAGATTAAATGCATGAAAATGACGGATAGTATAATTATTGTTTCGACATATCTTAAAGAATAATGACTTTCTTTGCTTACTTATTAACAATAACTACTTTCTATGTCCATCGTCCAGGAGCTTTGTTGTATGATGATTTGTTCTACATGCTACCAAGTATACAAATAAATGACTTTGTTAAATCGTCATACATCCATTCTATATATGTACATACATTTGCTATACCCCCCATGCATACAACCGATACATTCATTTTCCCCGTAAATTGTATGTTCTGTTCTATTTTATTTTCTCCAGTCATAGTCTCTTATGTAAGCTGAGAGCGCATTTCCCCACGAAAATCGCAAAGGGCGTATGTGGATCGAGTAAGACGCTCTTAACTTTAAATGGGACTTGTCATTATGCAAGAACTTGTAAGGGTCAATTTCGTCCTAAAACTTTTTTTTTTGAACTCGGCGTTGAGGAGAAGCTGTCAGTTGTTTGAGATAATGTTCAAAGTACTCTCGGGACCTAATACAATTAAAAATCAGAGTTGGAGTAAAAAACTTTATTGCCTGCAACAAATTCGGCTGAAGTGATCCTTAAAAGGAAAGGTTCAGGGGTTAATTTGGGCGAGTCTATGGAAGATTCATTGGATGACAGCAATGTTGCAATTTTCGAAAGTTTACGATCTTGACATTATTATTATGCTATATAGCTAATCTTTTCTGTGTATTCCTGTAAGGCGTAAACAATACCAATCAGTTCTGGTTCCACTAGCGATAATGATATATCGCTGGGAGGCAATAATGAACGATTAGGTTATTAAGGGGCTTACTGATAACATACAAAAACTAGTCTAATCTTTTATTCGGTTAGGAGTTGTTCTGTAAGCAAAAGGCCAAGAAAAGCATCGAGTGGCTGTGCTGTGTTACGAGATTGAATTTGGGAGAAAAAAGGTATTACGGTAAGGCGTTTGCAAAAATAATGATTGAAAATCCAAGGAACTTTTATACGATTGCGTGAAGCGAGTTATTCATTTTTTCCTTTGCACTCGTTAATATGTTTTGAGCTGGGCAACAAGCTTTTATTCACCAATTTACTATTGTCATGCAAAAAAGTTATGTGTCTGCCATGAGGTGATGAGGAATTCTTCAACAAACTGTCAAAGAACTTTCTATCGTGCAGTCAACGTAACACGACAGTAACAGCAACGAGAAAATATTGTACAACAATCAAGACAAGTCATTTTCGTTGGGTATCCAAGATAAAGGCAGTACACGAGCAGTTTTGTGAAATTGCAAGAATATTCCAGATAACACAGTGACATGCTTGATGGAATTAAAAATTAATAACAGCATGAATTAACTACCAGCTTCTTGTCAACGCATAATCAAACAAAATAGACATGAGGACCAATTACGATACAACTGATGTCAAAACGTTAGTTCGAATTTACAAACAATGTGTTTAAAATATGACAATTTACTTTTGGTAGATTTTATGAGCTTACTCCTTCCAAGTCAGAATTTTGACTTGGACCAGAGTTGAGTAATGTAGTTTAATGTTGCTGAAAGCTGGAGCAAAATACTGTTACACGTATCAAAGGCTTTATTGATTTAAACTTTTTATTGAATGCGCCATTACTCAAAATATTTACATTATTGATTTGCACATTTAAACTTAAATTTATAAAACGTTATCCGTTAATTTGGCATTTCAAATTTATGCTAACATCTCGTACCTTGCTCTTTGTCAGCTAGCCTTGAATAATATTTATTGAGAGCTAATTATAATTCTGGTTCTATTTTACTGACCATTCTGCAAGTTTTCCGAGATATTTGCGGTTAATATTAATATTTGACATTTTTCCAAATAATATGGTAAATTGCACCACCCATAATTTGTGCAAATGTAATACTATTATGAAAATGCCAAGCTAGATGACGATTAATAAATGATGAGTAGCGTAACTTTAATTATAATTATGATGTAAAAATTCTTTGTGCAAGCATATACTGGGTAAAGGCTAGTCACCTGTCATAATCATGTCTGACCAATTATGGTATGGATCAGCTATCAGTTCAAATGACTTTATTAAAATCTTGCATAAAATCTTATCAGTTTGTATATGTTGTACGTGCACCGAAGATCAACGGTCGAGAGCGCAAAATGGATATATACAATATGTGGCTTAATACACTGTATATCACATATATATTATCGTACATAATATGCAAGTGCTAATTATGTATACACAATTGATGTGGTTACTTGCATGACACGACGTATTTGTGTTAGACCAAGTGACCAGGCAAAACTATCATTGGCCTGTTTTTCTTATTGCATAGTTAAGATGACAAGAGACAATGCGTTGCTCGTGGCATTAGTGACTTCCACATTGCTATACACATGACCGAGTAA